CTTTTTTAAAAATCATTTTTTTGTAAAAAATATATTAAAAGAAAACAAAGAAAGCATAAAAAACATGTGCAGTTGAAAGCCCTGCCAGGACAGCCAGTCTGTAAACATTCAGTGAGTATGTGCTTTGTCAGGGTGCCCGTGCCTCGTGCCCACAGCAACTCCAGCAGGGCCGACGAGGGTGTGCCCCTGATGCCACTCCAGCCAGGACTGAGCTGGACCACGGTGGGTGGGTACAGCAGGGCCTGGCACTGTGCCTTTCTCCAGCTTTGCATCAGGATCAGAGTCAGGGTCCGGGTCAGCGTCAGGGCTGGGGGCAGGCAAATTGCAGTTTCACTCTGAGTCCCATACTCAGGCTAATTTTAGTTGCAATTCATGGCTTTTCCTGGCTGCTCGGAGGTCCTTTGGGTGGGTGCCCTGGCGGAGAGGCCGGAGAAGTGCCCACAGCTGCCTGGTTGGGCGTCTCTCTGGCCCAGAGCCTCTGTCCTGCCTCCTGCAAGCCTGGCCCCAGGCAGAACAGGCCAACCTCAGGACTACTTTGGTCTCAGCGCTTGGTCCTGGGTTTCATCAGCCTGGGTTTCTTCCCATGGTGTGGCTGATCTGAGTTTCACAAAAAAGCCTGGCCAATGCAGGCTGTGCTGAGCTTCATTGAAGAGTTTTTCATGCATCGAGGAAGAGCCCTCTGGAACCCTCCTCCTCCTTCTCTTCCTCCTCAAAGCCCATGGTCACTTCTTCTCCAGCTGCTCCAGCAGTGGGTTGCCTTCTGAGTCGGGGGTCTTAACACTGTTGTTGGTCCTGACGATGCAGGTGGGGCAATGCCAGTCAAGCATCAGGATGAGCTGCTGCCACTCCTGCTTCAGCTCCTCCATCTGGGTTTTCAGCTCTGCATTCATGAGCTCTAGCCATTCAGATTTCCCTGCAGAAACTCCGACTGCTCATTCTTGTTCCGGCCTCAGGCTGCCACCACTTTGTTCTTTTCCTGGCGCCTTTTCCTCCGCTCCTCTTCCTCATCTAGCTCACTTTTCACAGGTTGAGGCCTCTTGCCCAGTTTCACCTCCAGGAAGTGCAAGGGGGTGATCATGGCCCCAATGTTGTGGATGTCAGCGTATTTCAGCTCCTCTGCAGTCAGGGCCGAGCTGGGGAGTCCGGTCAAGGGGCCGAGCCCTGGCAGAGAGCCCCCAGTCATGGAAGAGTCCGGGATCTGCCTAAGCATTACAGCAGGAGGAGTGGCAGTCCAGCCCTGCAGAAGCCATGGGCAGAGGCTGCGACCCCAGGGCCTGGGCCAGGCTGCAGGCGCCATGCCCACTCAGGAGCAGCCATGGCGCCAGCCCTGCCCTGCAGTATCCACTGCCACCAGCACCTCCCATCACAGAGTAGGACCAATCAGAGGGTTGGGGCGCTGCCCCCTGTCACACACACAGCAGGGCCCATGGGGGGTTGGGGCACCACACCCTGTCACACACAGAGCAGAGCTGATCTGGGAGTTGGGGCGCCACCCTCTGACATGCACAGAGCAGGGCAGATCAGGGGGTTGGGGAGCTCCCCCCTGTCACTCACAGAGTAGGGCCGATCCAGGAGTTGGGGCGCCACCCCCTGACACGCACAGAGCAGGGCGGATCAGGGGGTTGGGACGCTGCCCCTGTAACACAGAGCAGGGCCGATCAGGGGGTTGGGGTATGCCCC